GCTGATTGCACTTGAGTCTGGCACTTTTTACACAATATTTGGACAATGTTATGCTGAATTCCACGCAGAAGTTTTAACTGATCATTGGATAAACCAATGCACGAGGTTTGAAAATACATGTAACAGCGAAGCATGTGATAGCATCAGTTCTCTGTCTAACTATTTTGCAACAAGTATCAGGGGAAGTCTGTTTCCTCATTACGACTAGCTTAAGAGATATGACGGCAAAAAGTGAATCAGTAGAGCGACTAAAACAAAATTTCAAAACCTACGAAATATATCAATTCAGATGCACAAAAGCGAGTGAATTTGTCAAGAATTAACGCTGTAAACTTCCAATGCATAAAGTAATGAAGCAAACTGGTCTGTCAACGAAGCGAGAAAAGCCGCCCTACAAGTGCCTTTTTTGAAAATCGGGGCAATACCTGTCAGTGAAGACTTATAGCTTGCCTGCACTGAAAAATCAGTTAATCTGTTCGCATCAATCTTGCGGTGCTTTGTTTTGGGGGAACCTCAAAACATGCAGTTTTTTGTACAGACCAGTTCATGATCGGAGTCAATGTAGGTGGACCGAAGCACCTGTATTGTCATACGCTGACCCGGCATCTGAGGCCGTTTACAATGTGATCGATTTGTAACCACCTTTGTCATGGCGGAAAAGAACAGCAAGTTGCGGAACGTTTCTTCATATGCTCGAGAGCAACAAATGCTTGTTTTCACACACTGTGAGAAGTCTCTCCGTTATCCAAACGGTCCTCATCGAACACTTATTGGTTACCAAAGTGACTTTCATATAGTAACAGGAGGCCAACCCATGCGTCGAACTCACTAAACAAAGTCAGAGACAACTGATTTGTTAGCGTTCCACAAGATTTGATGATGCTCTCGATAAAAGTCGTCTTTTACCAAGTCACTAATGTAGTCATTTGGAGCGTACCCGTAGGTCACATACGAGTTGCGTCTCTCCTCACGACGCCTGTTTATTCTACACGAATCCCGAAGCTGAACAACCTTTGATTCTTTCGCCTACTGCTTCACAGCTGACGGATAACTCATTGCCGGTCAGCTGAAGGGGATGGCAAGTGGCGTTGATTTGTATGTATATCCGAGACCATACCAGTTGGCAGTGTTCATGTACGACCTCTACTGGAGGCGAATGGTAGAGGCCTGGAATGACTGTGACAACAATCCAGAACCGGGTCTCTCGGAAATACTCACGCGCTTTATAGCACCGTGAAGATCCATCATATCATTTTGCTTATTGCCTCCGCGCATCCGAGGTTTGTTCATTTGAAATTGTATGTTGTCGTGTTTATAAAATAACCTAGAAAATCATTTAGTTAAGCACTACGTTTCTACTGCGCCTTTGATTCAAGTACGACCAGTGCCGTCAAGATTTGTTACAGGTGGTACTGTGAATACGCTTTCCAGGAAACACTGCACCGGGTAGAGTGCGATGTACTATGTAATTGTCATATAGGGCGGAGTGACCCGGTGCTAAGCCTGAAACAGTGTATTATGATGAAGACTGTCAAGAAAACAAGGAATAGACTTCTCAAACTCAAAGAGATGCATGGAGATTTTTATCATGCTACTGAAAAAATGAAATACGCCTTCCATCGTGATCGGCAGTAGTCCAGTCTATTCAGTCGCAGAACGAGGATGTTGCTACGAGCAGCTAAGATTCTACTGCAACCCGAGCTAACTGCGACTGCCATTCTGTTAAACGGAAAGCTCGCCTGCATTGGGCGAGTATATGGAAATTGCCCCACGAGAACTATCAAAATAAAGTTAAAAGGAAGGAAGGAATGAGCAGTACTGACCCCAGGCGGACCTCTTCCTTGCTGGCGTCGATAGCCCTAAATCGACCCTGATTGAACGCATCGATAATTTCGAGCAAAATTGACGTGGAGTAGCATGAACAGCGCTCAAGTGGATCATTATCATTATACACGAACCTGGCTTTCACGGGTGCCAGTTAAGCTGTGAAGGATGACAAAGGCAAGTAACTTGGAGGCGATAAACATCTGACTGATTCCTCTATGGTTGCCGCATTCCGAACGCTAGCCTTTCCTCCAATAATAGAACCATAACATAGCGGCTGCAGTCTGCTGCGACATTATCCTGCTCCCACGGCTTCACTAATAACTCGTGTAAATTATCCACCAGTGCAGGTCCCCCGAATTTGAATAGGACTGGAGGGAGATCAATCTAATCCTGCGTTTTGACAACTTGTAGATGAGCTGTCCACTCTCGTCATATATTTTCACTAACATCATGTCTCCAACTACCTGTTTCTTGTATCATGCTGTATAACGTGATGGTTACCAAGGGTAGCGAACCCTTCCATTTCCGACCCACGACGCAACCACCAGGATTCGTGGTCTTTCTTCAGGCTGGCACAGAGCTTTGCTCTGAGGTCTTTGCTGGTCTTGTGTTCGTTTCCAACCGCCATGTGCCGACGAGCATCGATAAGTTCCAGAGACCGCCTTGAGATCCATTGTCCGGGTTGGTTACTAGATCTACCACATAAGGAATTGTCTGCTGCTAACAAGCTCTGGTACGCATGCGACCAGTGACCAACCATATTCAGTGGGCGTTTACTCAACCCGAATGCTAGCGTACTTCGATACGCACTCAGAACATTTGGCTTCGCCAGTTAACGGGTGTCTATGCGCCCTAAGGGTCCTCGCGGGCGTCTACCTTAACGCACCCGCAAATCATCACATATAAGAGCATGCTCAGTGTCCACATCTGTGCTTCATCTCGAGCTGAGGTGGGTAACACCTCAGCTACTGTACCGCAATATATGGGAAAAAGAACACACAACAGGTACGTTAGCTGAGCCCTCGCTAGCAGAAGCACATCATTCTGGTGAGCTAGCAGCCGGTTATTGTGCCGCGAACTGTATATTATTTGTCGGGAATCAGATCGGGGTTGGAAGGAGGGGGAGGGACAATGGAACTCACAACACAAACGCCATCAAGGTCGGCCCCAAACCAAATCAACTAGTGTATCTAGTTAAACATGTTCATCGTCTTTCAGACCCAAACCAAGGATCCGAAGGACTCCAACCGAGGCCAACTTCGAACTAAGAATCTCCATTCTTCTTTACCAAGTCCTCGTTTTGTCTCCCTCCACTTCCATCCACACAATTCGGCGTGCAAGCAATGCACGTCGCTGGAGTCGGTGTGCTGGCATTTGTAACACGGCCCAGCGCAGCCTGTCCAGCGGTAACTGCTCGCCATGTGATCGATTTGCGTCCATGGCTGACCCGAAACTGGTGAGCGCCATGTGACCTTCCGGCGAATGCTGTTGGAAATTATTGCTCGCAAGCAATAAACGAGCATCCACACAAATAAAATAACCGCTCACCGTAATCATTACGGGGGCCTACACCACCATTTCAGCCCCGATGCAGTCCATCAGTCGAAAATTTTCTAACGGGCATTCAGATCCCTAGCCAGCACTACAGTGTCCATGGTTCTTCTGTGGCGAACGAGCTCGTCCATTTGATGATAGAAGTCGTCTTTTACCGAATCGTGGCTATAGTTTGTGGGTGCATAGACAGCGATCACAAACAGACGCCTATTAGACCCACTCGACTTCGAAGCTTTGAACGAGCCAGCCATTCGGGCTGCACATCTCGGCTGCTGATTGGGATCCAATCAATCGAGCAGCTTCAGCCCGGGGACCCAGTGCAGTAGCAACACCAGCTTGGCCAGTACTGGAAACTACATCGTCTCCGGATAGGCGCAGTGAGAAAGCACTGCTGGTGTCAGCTGAACAGAGTTCGGGTCTTGTAGGCGGGTTTCCAATAGGCAGCAGATATCGATCGAGAAGTCTACTGTTCGGGCAAGTGCTGCCTGTTGATCCATTTGTAACAATGTGCGTACGTTAAGGCATTCCAATCTGGGGGAGGATCGTGGGCTCCAAATAGAAGACGATGAACTTGGGCTTATCTACAATGCAAGAGTGACGTGTGCATTTGAATGTGAGTTGAAACTACAAAATAAACGTCTACCAAAGCGTGGTGGAGTGAAGAGTATTGGGGGGTTGAAGTCGGGGTGATAATAGTGAAGTTGGAACTGAACGATAAACGTGAAAAAGCGTAAGAGGGGGGGTAAGAAGACGGGTAGGCTTGAGCAATAGCATCAAAATCCCTATCCGCCCTGCTTGATGCACCAGATAGGGCACCGTTTATTATCCTCTGCGGCGGCCAGAGTATCAGGAAATTGTTTCAGAAATGATTTATAGTATTACGTGGGCAGGCTCCTATCAGGTTGCCCAGCCGTAAACAGAAGAACGATTAGGGTTCTCAACAAAAGCCTTTGGTTCAAAAACCTAACCGCAGGGCGGCGGGTTTGGCAGTTTGCTACAAAACGTCCGTTTTATAGAATAAGGGGCCACTCTCGCTTTAATCGCCAACCTGGAGGGCCTGGAGACTGTTTGTCTGCCCTCTCACCATTGACCAACCTGCTATGGGTGACTATGAAGGTGTAAGAAACACCACTCAGAATAGCTCAATGGATCGCTACAAATCACGCAACCTTTAGGTCCAGCCTAATTACGATGCGCTCAAGCGCATGCCACGAGGGAAATAACCAGAGTGAATGTGCCTCATTGTGAGTGCATCTGATTAATGTGGGATATAAAGTAGCCATGTTGTTCTTTGAATGACGCAATTTTGCCCGAGACCTGGACTTCGATTTTGTTTCTTAGAGAGGTGTCACGACATTTCTGTGCATAAGTAATATGACGCGGAAATATTCAGGTTATAAGTGTCTACTTGGATGATGCTGCTGGGTCGTCAGGTTTGACTCACTGCATTCTCCCATGGTTCGATCTAACAAATCGAGCTACGAGTGCTTCGTTCGTTCAGCACAATTCCTTTTAGAAGCAAGTGTTCTAACCTTATGTGCATAATTTGCGCTCTAGGTGGGTCTTGCTGCTCATAAAGCGCTTTGCGCACTGTTAGAGGGCGAAGTTGTGGCCTATCTATGCCAAATCTATTCTACTCAGTACTGGTTTTGGTAAACGTATGCATCTGTTGGAACAGTTACGCTCCTGGTAAGCACTTTATATTTATGACCTCTCTGCTGTAGCCGATCCACCTCACGGAGTTCTCAACATTTTCGGTGACGTAGCAGGAGCAACAGGACATGGCTGTCCACATTCTTCAGCTACCGGCTGTTTGAGAGTAAGTTTTGGGCGCTTTTTCTGACTAGACCATGTTCTTTAACCTATGTGATTTCAATATTTTCCGCTTCCGTCATCCAACTATACTACTTTACCCCGTTATTTGTGTTTATTTGAACAACCGATAGCAGAACCGTTTAATCATCTTGCCTGTAGTCCGCCTGTCACGGGTTCGAGCCTGCGTGGGCTTGAGTGGCCTCGCAGTATCGCAACCCACATGCTGCCGCTGGTTGTTTCGTGGTGATGAAGCGTCGATTCGGTCTTGGCGTAATATATATATATGTATATATATATACGCCAAGACCGTATATATATATATATATATATATATATATATATATATATATATATATATATATATATATATATATATATATATATATATATATATATATATATATATGGTTGACGGCATCCGGTTCCGGACTTGCCTGTCACTGTGGCCTTCAGGGGAACAGCCACAGGACGCCTGCGCCTAGAGACGGACCATGGGTGGCTTGTGCTGCACCACCTACAACTCCATCCACATACCCCATATCCAGTGTAAACCAGTAAGAATAAAATCTGGAAGCATGTGGATGGGAGCCACGTTTCATCAACGCAGTCGGCCCACACTCCTTTACAGACAAACACAAGCACGCTGTATTTAGGGAATCAAGTGCACACAAGGCGGTGGCTGGACCGTAGTCCGCACCACACTGAGTGTATGGAACCACTCTTTGAACCTAGCATGGCCACAAGGACCGTGCACCCCGTCCCCTCCAGCGACGACCAACTGTCTCATGGAGCCAGTATGGATGAGGTAGTGGGTAACAGACGAGTGGGCACCTTGTCAACTTGCACATCAAATGCAGCCAAAACGCGGATGTCATACAGCCAATCACTTGAAATGGCAATATCAAATAACGGTTATCGAATAAAGCATACGAATCTACGACTTAACTCTTCGCTAAATGCGCCTATGGAATAAATTGGCTATCAACAAGTTCGCGATAAGTTCAGGATGTCAGAAAAAGATATTTTAAAATAATGATGGAAATGTCAACATGTCGAATTTAACCACAATCCGCTTGAGCGACATGTGTGAGTAAAAAAGCCTTATTCAGACAGATCTAAATAGCGTGACAAAGTAAGCATTACAACATGTAGCAAACTAATCACCTGAACTAATGATACTCAGCACGCAAGCACGCCGTTAGTAAATCGAATGCAGCGTACCTACCAACGCTGCGCCGGTTCTGCTTACGTTTTCAGCAGGACTCTTCGTCTTTTCGATGCTAGTCCTGAGTGGCCTCGCTCGTGGTTAACTAGGCCTGCCTGACTCATGCACTCGCGACCGCATGTCCTACAACACCATGCGCTCGACGTCGATGGAGTACCGCCCATTGGCTTCCGCACTTTCTGCTTCTTCTCCGCATGCACAAGGGCTTTCTCTCCCACCTCAGCAACTGCCTTCGTGATCAGATCTCGCCATGCACGCCTATCAACTGCCTTCGATTCCCAACATCTGAAATTAACATTAGAACGTGATAGATTCACTTTTATCATGTACTGGTAAAGAAACTTCGGTTTCCTCGCATGCGGCTTCTCAACACAGCTAACCATATAATAGTTGCTTCCGTATCCGCGTCGAGTCCGAACCACCACAAGTGTCTCAGCAAAAGCATGCGTTCCACTGCATACATTCCATTTCGGCGTAGCGCCTCCGTATCTGCAATTCTTTCGCACCAACCGATGCGCAGCATCCTTCATATATATATATATATATATATATATATATATATATATATATATATATATATCGCCTCCTGCGCTGACCCTTGGTGGGGATCACCTAGAAGTCGTTCGGAAATTCAACTACCTGAGAAGTTGTATCAGCACCCTTGGGATCCAGGACCAGATCACGAACCGGATAGCAAAAGCTCGAAGTGCTTTTGCTAACCTTCGCCACCTATGGTGGCGGCGCGACATTACGCTTGCCCTGTAGGGTAGAGTGTATAATGCAGCGGTACGTTCGACCTTACTGTACGGTTACGAAACCTGGCCCCTAAGATCGGCGGACATGAAGAGGCTAGTTACGTTCGACCATCGGTGCCTTCGCAGTTTGGCTCACATCTGGTGGGAACACCGCGTGAGTAACGAGCGTGTTCGACGCCTTGTTTACGGCACAGGAAAAGGAACTGAATCGCTCAGCACCGTCATTTTACGCACCCGGCCCCGATGGCTGGGCCACGTGTTGCGCATGCCAGCCCATCGACTTACACGACGTGCGTTGTTTGCTCACCGGGGATGTGGATGGAAGAAGAGGAGAGGTGGCCAAGCGATGAGTTGGTCAAGAGGAATGAAAGCCCTAGGTTGGAGCGTCACGGCTCCCTGGTTGGGGTGCAAAAGACGGTGAACACGTTTGGCTGGATACACGTGCTGACATGGCAAGGAGCCGACCTCAGTGACGTTCGTGTTGTGAGTTTCTTTGTTCCACCTCATCCCTTTTAGCCTCCCGCTCCACCTACGATCTCATTTCGTAGCGTAAAACATAATTTTTCTTTTTGCATAGTAGCCGGCTGGTAGCTTACCGGAACCGTGGGATTGAAGATGAGATCACGAACCGTATACGAAATGCTCGAAGGGCTTTTGTTAACCGTCGCCACTTATGGCGCCGGCGCGACATTACTCTCGCCCTGAAGGGTAGAGTGTGCAATGCAGCGGTACGTTCTACCCTACTGTACGGTTGTGAAACCTGGCCGCTTAAAGCAGCGGACCTGAAGAGGCTAGTTACGTTCGACCACCGGTGCCTTCGCACTTTAGCTCACATCTGGTGGGAACACCACGTGAGCAACGGGCGTGTTCGATGCCTTGTTTACGGCATAGGAAAAGGAACTGAACCGTTCAGCACCGTCATTTCACGCACCAGGCTCCGATGGCTGGGCCACGTGTTACGCATGCCAGTCCGCCGACTCCCGCGACATGCGTTGTTTGCGCGCCGGGGGTGTGGATGGAAGAAGAGGAGGGGTGGCCAAGCGATGACTTGATCGTGAGGAATGAAGGCTCTCACTTCTGAGCTGGCCTCGGTTGGAGCGTCTCGGCTCCCTGGTTGGGGTCCGAAAGACGGTGAACACGTTTGGCTAGATACACATGCTGACATGGCAAGGAGCCGATCTCAGTGACGTTCGAGTTGTGAGTTTCTTTGTCCCATCCCATCCCTCTTAGCCTCCTCCTCCAACCACGATCTCACTATTTAGCCTTATATAATTTTGCATAGTATATGTTTCTTTGGTGCATAGTAGCCGGTTTGTAGCTTACCGGTGCGATGCCCATCCGTTACCGGTACCTCAGCTGGCTTGCACCTGTTGCACTTCCCTTGCTTCTTTTATGTATTGCGGCACAGTAGCTGAGGTGTTTCCCACCTCTGGCTAACGTGCATAATGATGATGACCACCCACGCTCTAGGACGCTGTCGATGATTGTCCGCGACTGCTTATTCATCTCGCCTGCGAACAGCCGAGACTGGCTGGCTTGCCGAACAACCTCACCGTGGTGCCAGCTGGGTGGTTCGGGTTATTCCCGTTCCAGCAAACAGTTCGGCGTCAGTGTTCCAGGAGGTGATGGGTTTTCGCCTGGCAAGCGTACTCCTCATAAAAAGCCACTAATGTATGTTTAATAACACTGCGACGTACCGGATGTAACTCGCCACTAAATAAAGTCACTGACCCTTGCCCCTACCTGAAAGGCATTATACTCCAAGGATGCGTTGGGCCCTTGGCCCTTCACGGAGCGAAAGGCGCACGAACCATATGTTTGGTTACCTTCTCCCAACGGGTTTCGATGCCCTCACATCGCGCCGCTGCCTTGTAGGTTAGATCTTTGATCAAAGGCTCTGGGTTGGGCCACCCAAGACAACCCTCTACTTCGGCTTGGGCCACCGGGTAGTATCACGCCCACTGACGAATCATGGACCACACTGCCTACTACTGCTCTTGCTATGGCTATTATCTCTGCTTACTCAACTCCTCAACCTCCACTCACAGATCACCCCACCTCCCGTCCTTCACGCACGTGTACTCTTTTATCTTCGGTCACCGTCACAAACGACCCGCTTCTCGCAACTGATGGAAGTAACAGCCAAACTCCGGGTTTTCAATGTCTTTCAATCGCAACCGTCTCTCACTCTACCGAAGCTCCAGCTCTTCTTCGCCCTAGTTCTCCATTCATCCTCGCAGCGTTTAATGTTCGGAGGACAAGCATGTCTGGCTCGTACTCTTGAAACGCTTTCGGTAGACATCTGTCGTCTTTCATAGACCAGATTACAAGACTAACGCCATCATCAAAATGAGCTTTCCGGTCAACCCTGACGCCAAATGCCACTTACGGCTTTTCAGACCAGAAGCTGCCGTCTCTGGCCAAGGTGGTGTTGGGGTTGCGCTGAGTGTCAGGGCTGAATCAGCTCTGCTTTACTGGATCCTAGTCAACAGTCGGCTATGCGCAGTCCGAGTAAGAGGTTCAAGTAATGTAAGCAGGCTTCCAGACGTTAAGCGGGCCTTGTTTGTCTTCTTCGCCTACGCCCCTACAGATTGCAGGCAGGATGCAGTCAAGGATAGCTTTTACCGGCAACTACTTGAACTTCTGCATTCCTCCAAAAGGAGTGATATAGTCATTCTTGCCGGAGATTTTAGCGCACGAGTGGGCCGCCTTCCACCAAGCGAGCACTACCTTGGGGGTAGTTTTGCCCTCGGTTGCAGTCAGACATTGGAGACAGACTGCTTGCTCTTCGCTCTGATCATCGCTTGTTTCTTTCGAGCACTAGTTTTCGGCACTCGAGGAGACACGCTGCTATCTGGCGCCCGCTTTCACAAACGCTAGAGTGCTCTCAACTTGTCCACATAGCAATCAGCTACAGATGGCGCGGAAGCGTAACGGACTGCGGATCGTACTGCTTAACTTATCTAGACTCCGATCACGCATTGGTTCATGCTAAGATTTGTATGCGTTTCGGGGGATCACCCA